GTGGAACCACCCGGAATTCAGCTGCCGCGCGCCTGGAGTTTAGCCACCACGCAGGCGCAGTACAGAAAAGAGACAATGCATTATGGGCATGTAGTCCTCGTTCCTGTAAGAGGTATGCGCGCCGCAGAATGGAAGTCGCACACAAACCAGAAGGAGGCGAGGGAGCGAAGGTAACATTTTGGATTAAAACATTTTTTTTTTCTTAAATGTCAAAGATTTATAGTTGGATTACCTAAAGCAAACTATATTGAGGAAAAAAACTCAAGCTTTTAAAGGAGAACTATGGGGTTCTATCTTTTCTTGATTAATGCATTCCTTAGGCTAAATAAGTAAATTATGTAATTTACTCTAATTTGTGATCTGCGACTTTAGAAAAAAGGAACGATGCCACTACAATCAAGGTAAGGGGTATTTTTATTTGCCCTTAAGTCATAGTTCTCCTTTAATACCACTTTAACCTTTTTTTCATACTATCGGTAGAACTCCTGAGCTGGACTGCCTTCTCTGGACCTCTACATTCACTAACAGTTCAGACGACAATAGAATGGAAGATGGGATCTGAAGGATAGAGTAATGCTCTTTATTCGATTCCCCATGGACCTGTGGACCAGCAGCCCTCTCAGTACCTGCTATAGTTACACCCTAGCCATGCTTTGAAGAAGCAGCACTGCCACATTTTGCTGACCACACATATGTACCGTAAAGTCTAACCTCCAAACTAATGGAAAAATACAAATCCAACATGTTCCACTGAAACAAAACTGAAGCAAGCTGTAACTAAAAGGGAGATATTTCTATTCTTTCTCTCAGTCTGTGTCACGGAGACACCCAACATCCATCCCGTACACTGTACATGTGGCAAAGAACTTTGGAAATTGTTTCCAGATGCTGTACTATTTTTACTATTTGGTAATCCCAAGAACCTTCTGCTCAGCATTTTCTCTTGCGAAAATGTTATTGTACCAAAGGTTTTCTTCAGATATCCTGTATCCTGTCTCACCTGTGTTTGTGGGAAAGCCCACCAATCCCCCTTGCATGTGGGAGGTTTAAAATAATAGATGCCAGACTAGAGAAAATTAAGAGAAATTGTTTAAGCAATGTGTATCTTACACTTTTGGTTCACATCTAACTGCAAACCACAGTTAAGTACAGTTAAGTACAGTTTAGGAAAACATTTTTCTTTTAAGGGATTTACATTTTAATTTAAGGGTGCTTTGTTAAAAATAACAAATAAAATATATAACCTGAAAAGAGGTGAGGCTGTGCTTTTTCTTTTACTTTAAGGTGGCGCAGATTAAGTATGCATGTGGAAGTCGTTCTGTTGTGTAAATGTGTATTACTGCACTTCAGTCAGATGTCCAACAAATTCTAAGCACAGGCTTAATGTAGATCTACACACATTACATCACCTAATTACTATTACACATAGAGCACACCAGCCAGATGTTTCCAAATGTGAGAAACAGCTAGAAAAGCATATGCAATGCAATGTGTTTACCTAAACACATCTAGCAAAGAAATACAAACTGCTCTGCAAGCTAATTTCTCCTTCAATCATAAGCTTTTCTCATACCATGTTTGCAACACCATTTTTTTTTTATATCCTGAATAGGAATGAGGTTTGGGTTGAGATTTTCCATGGTTTGAAGACGAACCCTGCCTGTCCGCATTTAGCAGAATAGCCATTTTAATGCAGGATTTTGCCACCAAAGTAGCCAACTGACCCAGGGCTAACCTATCTGGCTTAGGAGGGCCAATAACCGGATGTCTGGCGTAACCACTCCCGTCACAATAACAGGGTGGGTTCCCAGCAGCCATTTTCATTGTATGTTGGAATTGTTTAAGGAGAGTTGACAGTCTGTGTGTAGGGAGAGTTAGTTGCTGCTGTACAATACAATACTATACTGTTTTACATTGTGCTAAATTACTGTAGATTGCATTGTGGTTGGCTACTTATTCTTTTAAAACACCCTCTCTCCCCACCTTGTTCAGAGTTCAAAGACCCAAAGTCTTTTCTAGGACTACCTTTTTGTGTGTGTCAGAAACAACTATAGTTGCTGTTTAGCAGCTGCTCCCCTCCCCCTTGAATTCTTTTATTTTACTGTTTTTGTTTTATTGGGGATTTTCTTTTCTTTTATTATCTGGGTAATCCAGGTATAGCCATTATGCTGTTGTAGCATGCTTTCCTATCAAGAGTTAATTGCTGCTGCTCGGGATCCCAGCAGTGGGGATTGATGGGAGCTGAAGTCCATAGCCAGGGAAAGTCTGTAGTAGACGGAGTTAACTAGACTACAATTCCTAGGAGGTTGTGGGGGTCAGGGGAGAAGTGGGCTAGCAGAGTCTGGAGCGGGCACGCTCAGTCTTGAGCTGTGTGAGCAAGTGAGTAGATCTGTGTCAGAAAGAGCTGCAGTTCCAATTAAAGCGTGAACTCTTCAGCAGGACTGTAGTCAAACCCTGGCAGGGTGATCACGGAGGGACCACATCCTTAGAGAGTGAGTGCCGCCCTGTTCAGTTATCACAGAGTGCTGCCTAGACAAACTGCAGACACCAGTACAGGCACTCTCTTGCCGTCGGATTCCTGGATCTGCTGATTGGCACCAAAGAAGGACTGCATTGTTGATACTTGTGGATAACGCTACTCTACTATGCATCATGGTCGCTGAGTGAGCCAAGGAAAGTCGACTGGAGGAAGCAGGGACTCCTGTCTCCTTGCTGACAAACTCCAGACCGTCATCGCCACTTTAGGATTGGTGAGAGGCCACAGGCCAACATGTTACTGCTTGTCAGAGTGTCAGGTCAATAATATTTCGTGCACCATCATTGGCTAGACGAAGAAAGGTAACTCTGGCCAGCTGGTTAGAGTTTGGGTTTATTGGAACTAACATGTGACCTTCATAATTTGCTATTAGAATAAAGAGTTACCTTAGTCAGCATAGAATTGTCTTAAGCAGTACTATTATAGTTGAGGCAGTCAGACTTAATCAGACATCCAGGGTGATCCTGTTAAATGTTGATATTGTTCCCATCTATATTTATATATTCAATGTATTAATTTTTCATTGTTCAGTAAAGCCTTTGCAAAACCACACAAGGTATGCAGGCATGCTGGTGAGCTGGTGTGCTGGTGAGCTGTGGATCTATTACAATTGGTTTATCACAGAGGTGAGACAGAAGACCCAAATAATACAGCATCTCTATAGGAGGTAGCGCTACATATACAGTGTATATATAATGACATAGACAAAGCTGCCCTTTGTTTTTAGCATATCATTGCATACTTGTGCACCAAAGCAACATATATGTATTCCCCCTATTGCCATCATTGCCATTAAAGCTAGGCAATCACCATTACTAAAAAAAAAGGCCTAAAGGGAGAGGCAGAGGTTCTTTCTGCTCATGGATACATTAGGGATGTGCCTCCCCAACAGGGGCATAGAATATGAGATGCATAGCCTCAGTTAAGATTAGCATTGTTATATAGGTTAGAATTTATATAGTGTGATTTGCCTAACTATTTTCTCATAGCTAAATCCATGTGTTATCCTATGCTGCCATCTAGTGGCCTTTTGTTGTAACAAACATGCTTTCTGTAATTATTCCTCATGTGACGATGTATTTCCCCCTAGTGTAGCCCCTTCCTGCTTCCTGTGTGCAGTACTTCCTGTGTCATGGGCACAGCTACTAGCCACATGTAACAAGGACACACATGTAATCTGCACAGTACGTAGGAAAGGCATCATTTTCTGACCGCACAATACTATAACCGTTCAACTGCTGTTCCTATCATCTGCTATAACCTGATGTTAAAGAATAAACACCTCTTTTGAATGAATCGGTATTGACGAGTTCAGCTATCTGAGGAGGATTGTCCGCAGTGAGTATATCTGCTTATACAGGCCAGGCATAGAGGTCTCAGCAAGGGATATATTTCGCTATCACAACGATCGGAGTCAGAATAAGGGAGCAAGCAGGTTCTGCAGGACAAAGTGGTGGTCGACTCCCACTATGTAGAGGTAGGGCACATCTGCCTTTACTCTCTGAGAGGGTCTGTGCTATACAGCCACAGTACATGGAGGAGGTAGTTGAGTTGCTGACTAAGCCTTCCACTTCTTCTTCTGCTGCTGATTTTGCTATAGCCATGCAACCTGGCCATGAGGAGTTTGCAGAAATGTTTTATTACAGGATCAGTCACTTGCCACAGGATAAGAAACACAAAGCGCATAGCTCACCCCTGTCATGCATCCTTGCAATCCACATTTGGTGCACGGTCCACATGCATCTATACAGAAAACAACTGCTGATGCATTTCTGCCTTACTCTGCCTCAGTCATTGCTGGTTGTGACACCAACCCCACCAAAATAGCACGTCATGCAGGGCAGCGAGAAACAAGTAGGCGCACCTATATCTAATAAATCCATGTAATCACATAAAAACAAAACAGAGGAAAAAAAGAGAATACCCACTTATTAAAATTATGGGTATACATCATCAAACTCTGACATTATATAGTAAAATCCATAATAACAGCGGGAACACTAACAATAAAATATTATGACAATCACAAATTGTAAAAAACTAGTGACCCACGTGCTGCAGGCTGTTCAAGTATATTTAATTTTAGATAAGGAGAATCAGGAAGATAGCCTCAGGACCATGGAGGGATGGGATATTAATACACAGGGAGCAGCAAGAAGCAACGATGTTCTAGCAGCTGGATTTTACTGTCAAATGGGCTCCAGCGATGAGGAGGGGGTGAATGATGAGGTGGTAGATCTACATAAGTGCCACCGATTGAAGAGGAGGAAACGTCTGATGGAGAGGCAGAACAGCAGCAAAGGAGGATTTGCTATCCCCGGGGGCGTTCTACAGAGGTCTGCATTGTGGGCCTTTTTTTTACATATCTATTGCCAATAGCACCATTCTGGTTGCAGCCTCGGCCTGCAACATATCAGCCATGGTATAGGTTCCAGGCATTTGGGTGCCACATGCATGAGGAGACCTATAACTCTGCACCACAGAGCTTGATAAAAGCAGCATTTGAGTGAGTCAAGTCAGCAGGAACAAACCTGCACTGCTCCTTGTTACTTGGTGCTTTCCACATCACCGTCCCCACCCCCTGCTGCATCCACCATAACATCTGCAGTCTCTAGTGACAAGTAGGGGATTCTCACAAGGGATTTCAGATGCTTAGGATACACCACGTGAAGTAGGGAAGAGGTCATGATGGGGCCATGCTGAGTGGGATCAAGCAAGGCCTTAAACCTTGTCAGAGTTCTCAAACACCAACCCTGCCATCTTCATCAGCTTCCTTCCTATGGCAAGTGTCTTTTCTGCAGCTGCTGTGGAAGAAGAAAAAATAGTTCTCAAATCACTGCCATGGCAAGTGTTCTAATGCCAGCTTGGAAAACCTGCTGGCTTTGCAGCTGCGCCCACTCCACATTGTGGAATCAGCCCCCTTCCTCAAGTTTATGGCCTGTACTAGACCACAGCAGCAAGTACCCAGCCACAATTATTTTGCTTCGAAAGGCCATTCTTGCCCTCCACCAGCATGTGGAATGTAATGTGTTGTTTGTGTCGTTTGACCATGCCATCAGTGGCAGGGTGCACATGACCACAAACACATGGTCCAACAACAACAACGTGAAGCACACATTAAATAGAAAAAAAAAATTATGCTCACACATTATGTATGGGCCAGTCACAAAGATCTGTCTCTATCAGGTGTAAAATAACAAACAGCCTGGATTCCCTCACTACTAGCTGGAATGTGGGGATGAAGAGTCCACACTGCAACCCAGGCAGCCATACAGTAGAGTAAAGCCCTCAATGAGAACAGAGTAAATAACACAGATAGTAGACATTTTATGCTCCTGTTTGAGCCCCATTTAAGTTTTGAGGGTCCGCATCTTTTTCAGAGTTGCAGCGGCATCCGAGCTGTCAGTCTTTGGCTGTTTGTCATTATACACCTAGAGAGGACAGCTCTTTGTGACTGGTCCATACATCATTTATGAGTGTCAATCTTTCTATTTTATTATTAATAAAAATCCCATCTGCCCTTTGTTCATTTTTTTGTTATCGTTACAGTGTTTTGTACTTCCCTGGTGTACTATTTTGCGCAGCTACAAGGATCTTTATTGATCGTATAGGACTCTTTAAATTGACACTTTTTTTAATCCTGCATAACCAGGTGGGACATGGGTCACCATTTCTGTGAGCACACCCTGTGTTGTGTAATGTGGTCCAGCAAGTATGTGCAGATACACTACAAATCTTTCATAGCACACATTATCAGTTTGATAACAGCTAGGAAGGATGTAGCATAGGGAACACCACTGGAGCTGGTGGTGCCACTCCGTGTCATCCTCTGACTCCTCAGAACTACCAGTTCCTGCCAAGCACTAAAGAGCATATGCAACATCCCCCAGCTAAATGCTACCTTGCTGTTTTTCAGCTGGTATGGCTGGGAAGAGGAGCCACACAGGGCCAAAGCTTCTTGTGACTCTTCAGGCCCAGGCTGAAAGGTGGCTGACCCCACACCATCTCCAACCAAGTCCTGTGTGACAATGGCACTAACCTGCTGGCCACTATTTAAGAGGTAAAATGCGCACACATACCTTGCATGGCACATGTCCTCAACCTGGTGGTGCAGCAGTTCCTCATAAATACCCTGGCTTTCCAATTGTTAACTATCTGAACTGACTGAAACCTAAGCCATCTTAATGAATTTGTAACCTGTTATATCCTTAATGAGGTTTAATAACTATTCGTCAGAAGAATGACTGACTCATTGATTTGAATGCATGGCTCCCTTTACCTTTTTATGATGTCATGATAATTTGAGTGAAACAAACCTTTGCTCCCAACTGTATATGATCTATTACATGGTATATGGTACCTTTCTGTCCACAATGCCTAAAGCAAAGGGGAAAAGCTGATGAGATGATTGTGTGGTGTGACAATATACAATCTCTTAGCCTGTTTCTGTTAGGGAAGTTTTTATATAAACTTGCAGGGTTATTCACTAAAGGGTGAAGAGTTTGGAGAAGGCAGGAGAAGAGAACAATCTAGGACAAAATATCTGATTTGGAAACATTCTCCAATTCAGCTCACTTTCCAGTTCAGCTATGTTGTCCTAGATTGTTCACTTCTCCTGCCTTCTTCAAACTCTTCCCCCTTTTGTGAATAAACCCTTTGATATTAGTGTATAAAGGAGTGTATTAGTGTTCTAGAGAGTAGAGAGTTTATTCTTGATCTGATGAATTCTGATCTCTCCACATATCCACCATACCATTATGAAAAAAGAGTCTATTGCTAATTTCAGAGGATAATGCAATAAAGAACACAATGAAATACATTTATCCAGAGTATGATCTAGAGCTAAATTAATTCATTAAACATCATCAGTAAATCAGTAAATCAGTAATAAGGATTTGGCCAACATTCTGGGCAAAACAGGATCTAGAAAAATCTGAACAATTGAAAACTGTCCCAAGACCATGAAATATCTCCAATCCCTGTCTCTGATAATATTACTTAATAAGACGCTGTGTTCATTTCAAGCATCCAATAAAGAGCAAGGTTACATTTTTTTTTCCTCTGCACAAGATTGGGTTTTCAAAATAAACGCAGCTTTACCTTTGCTAACTTAACAGTCTCTACTCATTTAGTAAATCAACCCTAATGCACTTTCTATATTTTCCTTTCTAGGAACACCAGCAAAATGAAGTCAAGGATACTGTTTTCTTTTTAGACATTTATTTCCTGCAATAGCAGAATAGCAGCATATGTTTTTGTCATAGGTTGGGAGGTTTTATTATTTAGATTGGACCACTAAAGCACATGTATAAAATGATATTTTGTAGAGTGAGTCATAGCGTAAAGTAGCCTATACCTCAAACTTTTTGATCGTCTTTTGAGTTCTAAATGGACTCCTGGATTTCAAGATCTGCCAACTGGGAATCAGTCCTACAGGTGGGCAGGAGAATTAGGAGGAGAAAAAAATACTAGCAGTAGAAGAAAAAAAGGAAAATAATGAGAAACATTAAAAGAAAAACATATAAAGAAACCTTTATAGAGAAAAAAACAAATTACAAACAACAAATTATTAAACAAACACTAGCAGGATGGAGTAGTCCCCAAGTAAGCCAGCAGATACGAGTCTATATAAATGAGGTATAACTAAAAATGAAATAAATTCAATTTTGTTGTCTATAATAGTTTGGAATATCTATTAATTTTTCTGCTTTTGTACAGGTAAATGGAAACAGTAAAATTGAATAGAAACTGTATATAATTGTAAAACTGGATCATCAGATTGTGTCCTTTTTGGATATTTTAGTTTAGCAGTTGTCATTGATTTCTACTTCACAATTGACTTCATTTTAAATGTCTCCTGGCCTGACTCAACTTCTGTATTTTCCACAGGGATTCACTTATCTTTAATTGCGCTGGCAGGATAAAGTCAGCAATATTTCCTTCTGTAGGGTTGAGTCGCTCTTCTCAGTGACAAAGTAGTATCTGGTTTAACTATTAACCACAACTTCTGTGAAGCATACATATTAGAGTATGCAAAGATTCCTTCCCAGTGATTTCAGGATATCAGAGACCAGATTTGTTAACCAACACCTTGACTGAGTAGGAAAGGGTTAAAACCCCTATCAAGTTACTTTTTGCTGTCTGTGTCCCACTGAGGAGATTTCCTTTAGCATCTGTCCTGAGGAAGCAACAAAAAATGAGAGGAAGTGAGGGGAATTCCCTTCATAAATAGTTGTTACAAGATTTGTTCCCAGTGGATTTCCCTTAACGTTTTTGAAAGGTACATTTATCACACGTAACAGCGTTTCTCAATATTTCAATTTCAGTCATGGCACCCAATAAAAGTATGCAAAATCTCAAGGCACCCTCGTCTAAAATGTAAAAAATTTAAATGTAAAAATTTAGGGGTCTGGTATGGATTTTAAGGGGGCCCTACACAAAAAACACAAATAATGGGTTTCCCCTTTACATTAAAGTACTCATCAAATCTGGAGCCCTCCTCTTTCACATCAGAGTCCACTATTACATTAGAATCCTCTTCACATAAGAGCCCCTTCTTTCACTTGAGAGCCCCCCTTAACATCAGGACCCCTCCCTCTTCACCCCTTCACATTCAGGAGCCCGCTTCCACATCATCAGCCTGCATTATGGAAAGGCATGACTGTGACAAAGTTTGAGGTACCCCTGAGGAAGCCAGAAGGTTGAGTGAGGCAGACATATAATATTCCCCTGCTAACCAGCACTAAGCCTTTTCTTTAGAAACTGGCAATCTGCTTAGAACTAGCAACTAGTTACTTTAGAAAACCAACAACATAGAGAAGAGAGGATGGATGGATATCAAAGTCTGTATAATGTCTTTAAAATAGAGTCAGTAAGGTATCTGCACACAGTCCTGCAATGTAATAATAATAGAGTGTACCTAGAAATTCCTATTCTTCTGGAGACTCCTACCTACATATATTCTATAAGGAGGATTAACTGAAAGCTTTCATATCTATACTAAACACATGGCTACACAGTGTAGCAATCAATACCAATTCTATGGTCCTATGATTTACTGTACTAGGATAAGACAGGATTGCCAATGTAAAGGCTACGTAATAGTGTGCAGCTGTGGTTGAAGCATTCACACACTTTTCTGCTATGTAGGAGCAACATTCACCCTTAAAAAAAACAAAAAACCTTCTCAAAAGGCATAACTTATTTTAGATGATGTGTTACATACTCAGCTGGGAAACAAAGAGTGTTGCTACCAAGTGTTCATGATTAGCAGTAAGCAGCCAATCTGGAAGCTGTAGGAAAAGGACAGCTAGTGAGTCACCATAAAAATATCTGATGGGGCGGGGAAGTTCTTTTACTACAATGGGGATGGAACATTACTTCTACAGAAAGCGCTTTCTAGGGGCACAAGAAGGGAAACAGACAACCCCTGCAAAAAAATAAAATGACAAATGTTTATTTCCTTGTCTATGTTTTTGGCTTGAAAGAGACTTTAAGTACGTTATAACACAACTTGCAGAACCCTCCCTAATGCACGATCTAAGGGGAGGATACAGAAGTAAATGCTTTGTACATTAGAATTAACCCTTTATTAAGAAGCAATGCAAGATCCAAGGATAGTTATATATTTATTTTGCTGTAAATACGGAAAGATAGATCCTGTTCATAAAGACTAGTGTCAAGTTTATGTAAAGTCTAAAACGTTTTCTTGTTTTCGATAGTGTGTAAGGTAGATTTTTATTGCTGTCTGTCACTGGTGGGAAGATTCACCCTCTCTGTTTGTCACCAAAACAGAACTATAGGGGACATATTCCAATAGGGACACCTATTATAATGACAACAGTCTAAGAAGGATTTTCCATCCCTTTGGAGAGATTTCTTCTCACTTTCTGTTGTGTATCTGGGAGAATCAAAGAAAAATTTCCACACAGACGCCCCCCTCCCCCCCAAAAAAAGGGTTTTAACTATTCCCTACTTTATCCATGAGTATACTAATCAGTAGGGTTGGGCTCGATGTTCGAGCCGAACGTGAGTTTGACTCGAACATCGGCAGTTCGTGTGTTTAGCGAACACATGAACTGTCAGGGTGTTCAGCTGGCTATTCGCCAGCCGCGCACCCCCGCACAAGGTACGTGAGCCCTGGCAAGGCTTTGCCCAATCAGAGAACAGTGAGAGCCAT